ATGATTTAAGAGAGCTCCAAAGCATTTGCCTATAGTTAGCTCAGTTGTAGTATTTTAGTAAGTGTTCTAATAACTTGGCTGCTCTTGCCTTGGCTATGGAGTCTCCACAAGTGCACAGTGTCCAATTTTTGGGTGCTTGGTCACATGGTCTTACGTGTTCTGAACCTATTAATAACTCACCATAGACTTGTAAGAGAATACATCAGACTCTATATTGGAACTGCATAATCTGCTGTCTATTTAATCCTTCTCTCATTTCTTTCCATTACCTATTCCTCTAGAAGATACTCATTCAGTTCTTTTCAGTGTTTATATTCCCTCCCCTTCCTGTAATTCTGAAATGGATTCCAATAAATTAATCTGGAGACTTAAGAAAAATACACAGTGTAAGTGCAAGAGAAGACAGTGGAGGACCACTATAATACTACAAGTGGTTATAACTGTGACAATAACATAGGTCTTTAAGGTAGGTACTTTACGGCTTATAAACTGCATTTATAAAATCTTTTGATTGTGGTATGTTACATATTTTTAGAAAACAAGTGAGCTGCTCAAACAAATGCATAGATGTGAATAGCTTTCTGTGCCCTGACTGGCATACAAGACACATATCTGCAAGAAGTAGAAGAGGTACTGAACTTTCTCACTAATCATATCTACAGGGGTAGGAAGCAGGTGACACCTCCACTTTTTTCTTTATCAGATCAGTAAAGATCAGCGAATAGAATTCTATTTGCATCAATTTTAAAAAAGAAAGACTTGAAGCCCAGTATATAATAGCTGTATTTATTGAGTGCTACTATATGCTGCACTCACGCTCATACTGTCATACGTTATGGCTCAGTTCCATAGAAATGCAACAAGATACATATCTCAAACGATTTTATAAATACAATGCTGAATCTCATGGATATTGAGTAAATCACCCATATCAGACAGCTGGTAAGGCCCAGGAGGTGAAATTCAAAGTTACACCTTTATGTTGTGTGCGTGCACACGTGTGCATATAGTGAAAATATTTTGTGACTTCAGTTTTATTTATCAGAGATGTATAACATTCATTTTAGTTCTTTGACCCAAGGTATAGGGTGGAAATTGACATGGAGTAGAACAGAACAGAAATGACATAATAGAAATTACTAATTTTTTTGAGAGGGAGGGGGAGGGATAAAGGAAGATGGACAGAGAGAATCTTAAGCAGGCTCCATGTTCAGTGCAGAGTTTGATGTGGGGGGTCATCTCATAACCCTGAGATCATGACCAAGCTGAAATCAAGAGTCAGATGCTTAACTGAGCCTCCCTGGCTCCCAGAAATTACTAATTTTTTAATGTAACCTATCTTTCATTACTTCTTTAATTGCTGTCTTGTATTAGTACTCTTAAAATTTTAAAGCAGAAAATTAGCACCAGTGGAGGGATTTTCTTTAAAATATGCCTAACAGAGTCCAATACCATAAACACTTCTGAAAGCAAAGAATTTATTAATTTCACTTTCCAGTTTCATTGTTGGAAAATGCTGTTGGAAAGTCCTGGCATCTTGGATTAATCTCAGTTTTGTTCTTTAGAATACATAGAATGCTATATCTCTCTTATGACAGTTAGCAATGACTATGACAACAGCTACAAACAGAATGATTTATGAATCAGTTGAGTTTGGGACACTGTACCTTGTAGTTTTTAAGAGTTATATAAATAGTTTTTATAGTGGTCCTGTGAAGAAGGGGTTGTTACACCCATTTTGTTAATCAGAAATTGAGTAATTTGCTTGAGGTTGCCAAGAAAGCAAGCTTGGAATCAAATCCAGGTTTGTCTGATTTGGAAGCTAATAGCATTCATGGAAGTGGTTTGAAGACTGAGTTCTGCAGGACTATAAAGTTTCAGAAATTGCCATGTTTCTGGTTTTGGAGTGAAGGAAAATGAAAGGGAGGGCTAAGAATAGAAGGTGAACTCTAGGCTCTTCTAACTTGAGTGCCATCAGCCCCATTGTTTCCTGTTTAGTATCATGTCATTTTGTAGAATATTTGTTTTGAAAAGTGTGCAAGTAGAATAAGAACTTGTGGAACTCTGACTTCCAGCCATGATGAAATAGGAAATAGAACGTCAGGCAAACTATGTGGATTAATGGTTTTTCAGGCATTGGACAAAAGGTAGCACATGGCAGTCATCCCTGAGAGAAAAGAAACCAATGAAGAATCTGTGCATATGTCCCAGTTTACAGCCTGAGAGAGGCTGCAGCACTGAAAGGGAACAAAAATAGAGCTCAGCATTCTTGCTGAATTAAAGAGACAGGGTTGGGATTGAGAGAAGCCAGAGAAGCTAAAATTTTCTGAAGGACTAAAGAAGAGGGAACAGTGCATTAAGAGAGGGCTTTGGATATGCAGAGGGCTCTTCTGGTTTATTTGTCTGAATATCGATCTGAAATTTGTAGAACATTCTACCCTGCCACACCAGAGGCACACATTATTTTGCCAGTGCCCCAAGAATATATCCCAATATAATACCTTATTCAAGGCCATAAAGCATGTCTCTGTGAAGTTAAGGGGAGTGAAGTACGACAAAGTAAGTTTTCTTAGTCCAACAAAATTAAAAATAGCAATTAGTAAGAGAAAGGTATATGGGAAATCCTCAAGTATTTGGAAATGAAATAATATACTTTTAGATAACATAGGAAGTAATCACAAAGGAAATTAGAAAATTTGGGGACGTGAATGAAAATGAAATACAACATATCATAATTTGTGGATTGCAACTAAAGTGGTACATAGAGGAATATACATCACATACATAGAAAAAAAAGATTACACATCAATGATCTAAGTATACACATGAAAAGATAAGAAAAAAAGAAGAGCAAATTAAGCAGAAAGGAGAAATAAAAAATAAGAGCTGATATGAGTGAGGGTTGCTCAGTGGTTGAGCATCTGCCTTTGGCTCAGGTAGTTGATCCCAGGGTCCTGGGATCGAATTCTGCATCCATCTCCCTGCAGGGAGCCTGCTTCTCTCTCTGCCTCTCTCTGTGTGTCTCTCATGAATAGATAAATATAATCTTTAAAAAAGAAAGAGCTGATATCAATGAAAAAGAATAGAACAGTATTAGGGAAAATTAGTTGGTACATTACAAAATAAAAATAATTGATAAACTCCTATTTGTAAAAAAAATAAACACAAATGCTCAATATAATTAGAGTGAGGACATCATTACAAATGCAGTAGGCATGAAAAGGATAACAAGGGAATATAATAAGTAATTTTAATGAAATGGACAAATAATATCGTAAAACACAAAACTCCCTTAAGAAAAATCAGTAAACAACATTCTTTTAAAAAAAATAGATTTACTTATTTGAGAGAGAGTGTGCCCCCCCATTCGGGGGAAGGGGCAGAGGAAAAGAATCTCAAGCAAACTCCCTGCCCAGCATGGGCCTGACACAGAGTTGGATCCTAGAACCCTGTGATCACAACCTGAGGAGAAATCAGGAGCCTATTGTTTAACAAGTGAGTCAACCAGGAACTCCTGAACAGCGTTATTACTAAAGAGAAATTGAATTTGAAGTTAAACGCTGTCCCCAGGCAAAAGTAGCTCACCTCATGAACTCTATCACTTTATGGGCCTTCAGTCATCCAGACAACCTTTTTAGGTGTCAGGTTGAATTATCCCCTCACCTTTTCAGCTTTTCTGTTCCATATACATCGAATATAACATACTTCATGTGGGGTTTCTTGTTCCCTTTATTTCTCCAAATTAAGAGAACTACCAGGTTTCTTCATTCCCAAAGAACACAATGATTCAAAAAAAAAGTTCCATCATATTATACATGGATTTGCAAAATTTCAATTAAGTGCTGCTCTAAACATTTGTTTACATTGTAACAGGATTTGTAAGAACAAAGAAATATTATCGATCATGCTCAATGACATCACTGTAACTATCCATTACTATCTACACCATCCTGTCCCACTAATCACTGACCTCTTGTTTACATTTCTGGAGGTACCATGAAGATTTTCACCAATTATTTTTATTTTGAGATTTTCTAAAGGTGAATTTTTTTTAAAGGTTTTATTTATTTATTCATGAGAGACACAGATAAAGAGAGAGAGAGAGAGAGGCAGAGACATAGGCAGAGGGAGAAGCAGGCTCCATGCAGGGAGCCCTATGCAGGACTCGATCCTGGGACTCCAGAATCACACCCTGAGCTGAAGGCAGATGCTCAACCGCTGAGCCACCCAGGTGTCCTAAAGGTGAATTTTTATAAAAATATAATTAGTCCCTTTAGGTAAATTCCTTTCTTAGGATTTTCTTTGAGTGTATAGATAGGGCCATAAGTGAGTAACATTTCTGGTATTTTTATACACTTAATTTTGCTTTTATAATATAAACAGGATATAACTTTTGTAACTTTCTAATTGAATGATGGGAAATTTTTATTTGTTTAATGTACTAATATTTTATTAGTTATATACATTGCAGGTATCTTCAAGTTTGTAGCCTTAAGATAATTTTATGTCATTTATGTAAATCTTTTTAAACAACTATATAATATTCCATAATATGAGAACATAGTAATTTATTTAAAATGCTAATATAACTTCTTAGTTAAGAACAAGCAGCTTTGCTATTTATTATATGTTACTTTGAATAAGACATTTAATCTGACATTCTGCTTCATGTTTAACACAAGGAAAAATATTTCCTATTTCATATGGTTATAGTTGAGATTAGAGAAATAATGCAAATAAATTATTCTCAGAGCAGGATTTCTTAGCCTCATCACCAAGGACATTTTGGACAATTGTTGTTGGGGCTGTTTGGTGCATTGTAGAATATTTAATAGCATCTTTGGCCTCTAGCCACTAGATGCCCCATCTGGATAGCCAAAAAAGAACTGGCTTTTAAAAATTCATATTGTAAAATAAATAAATAAATAAATAAATAAATAAATAAATAAATAAATAAATAAATAAAATTCATATTGTATTTTTGAATTGTTTCATTTTTTAAAAATATGAAATGCTTCATGAATTTGCTTGTTATCCTTGTGCAGGGGCCTTGCCAGTCTTCTCTGTATCATTCCAAGTTTAGTCTATGTACTGTTGAAGCAAGTATGTCTTGTCTACCCTTTAAACTGCAATACTTGTTTGTATATAGTATAGCTTATTTATCCATTCACCTATTATTACTGTTCATTCACCTTTGCCTCCCCTTTAGTTTTTACATTTTGGAGTTAAAATAGAATAATGACCTTATTTTTTTGAGTTTCATGTGCACATGTGTAAGAGTTTTCTTGGGTATATGCCTATCAATAGTATGTTGGCTTCTTGATGTACCTATTTTCACTAATTATTATATATATTCAGGTGGTTCCTTATGGTGATTATAATACAATTTCCTCTTGCCAGCTGTGTGTTTTCCCACATCCATACCAACAAACTTCTGGTATTGTCAGACTATTATTTTTTCTAATCTTTACTCACATTTTGGTCATTAGTGGAGCAAATTGAAAAATTTGTTTTTTTATTTTTGTAAACATTTATTTGAAAGAGGGAGAGTGAGAGAGCACAGAGAAGGGACAGGCAGAGGAAGAGGAAGGGAGAATCCCATGCAGACTCCATGCTGAATGCAGAGCCTGTCACTGGGCTCAATCCCAGGATCCCAAGATCACAACCTTAGTAGCCGAAACCAAGAGTCAGATACTCAACTGACTGCACCACCCATGCACCCATAGAAAAATTTGTTTTAAAAATGGAAAAAGTGAACAATACCACTAACCCACTTCCAGAAAATTTTGCCAGAAAACACTTAGAACAGTCATCAAGCTAGATCATATGTGGTGGGGCTGTAAAAAATCTTCTCAACAAATTTAAAATAACTGAAAACATATTAATGTGTTCTCTGGCAACAGTGAAATTAATGGAAATCAGCAAGCAAAATAATGCCTGAAAATTAGTATAAGTTTGTAAGTGAAACAGTACACTACCAAATAGTACATAGATCAAAGAAGAATTCACTAAGAAATTTAAAAAATATTTTGAAATGAAATAAAATGAGATCACTGTATCAAAATATATGGGATGCAGCTAAGTAATACTTATGGGAAAATTTATATCATTAAATACTTATGTCAGGGAATATGATAGTTCAATCTTAAATCAGGAAAAAAAGAGCAAATTAAACCCAGAATGCATAGAAGGAAATAATATATGTAAGAACAGTAAGCACTGAAGTTAAATAAAGCAGAAATAGTGGAGAAAAATAAAATTTCTGGAAAGAATAATAAAATTGCTATATCTCTAGCTAGATTGATCAAAGAAAAAACAAATTATCAATATTAGGAATAAAAGGGAGACATCACAATGGTTTCTTTGGAATTAATATTATAATAAGGGAATGTTATGAACAACTTTATGTCAAGAAAGTTTATAACACTGGGTGAACAGGACAAATCCTTGAAAGATACATATAAGAGACACCTGGGTGGCTCAGTGGTTGGGTGTCTGCCTTTGGCCCAGGGTGTGATCCCGGAGTCCCAGGATTGAGTCCTGCGTCGGGCTCCCTGCATGGAGCCTGCTTCTCCCTCTGCCTGTGTCTCTGCCTTTCTCTCTCTGTACCTCTCATGAATAAATAAATAAAATTAAAAAAAGAAAGATGCATATTAATAAGCTGGCTCAAAAAATATTGCAGAACATCTGTGGAGCTCTAAATAAAGTGTGATTGAATTTATAGTTAAAATTTTTCCCACAAAGAAAATTCCAGGGCCAAATTGAAGTGAATTTTGTTAACCATCCATTGATGAAATACCACAGATTCTTTCAAGTCATTTGAAGAAACAGAGCAGTTCCCAATACTTATATAGGGCTAGCATTATCCTGATGTCAAAGACAAATAAAGAAGGGTGCCTGGGTGGCTCAGTCAGTTGTGTGGCCGATTCTTGATTATGGCTCAGGTCGTGATCTCGGGCTTGTGGGATTGAGCTCCACATGGGCTCTGTGCTGGGCATGGGACCTGCTTGTGATTCTCTCTCCGTCTCCCTCTGCTCCTCCCTCCCCATCTCTCTCTCTCCCTCAAAAAAAAAAAAAAAAAAAAACCAAACAAAACAGATAAAGATATTGACAAGAAAAAAATAAAACCCATAGTTTCATCCCACAGAAACATAGACATTAAAATACTTACCAAATATAAGCAGATAAAAACCAGCAATAGATAAAAAGAATAATATATCATGACCAGAAAGAGATTTTCCCAAGAATGCAAGGATGGCTTAACCTTAAAAATATTTATCAATGTTATTCAATACATGAAACAAATGAAGAAGTATATATACAACAATGCCAATGAATACAGAAAAATAGTTTGACAGAACTTAACATTAATTTCTGATAAAAGTGTTTAGCAAACTAAGGCTAGATTGTACTTACCAAAACCTGTTAATGCTCATCTACAAAAAAAGAAAAATAAAAAAGCCTTGGTTGACATCATTTTTAAATGCAAAAGACTGTATTATCAATAATAGGATGAGGATATTCATTCTCACCACTTGTATTCAACATTGCACCAGAGATTTTAACCAGTACTATAAGCAAAAGTAAATAAATTAATTAAAAAATTAAAGACATGTAGATAGAACAGAAAGGGGTGAAATTGTCTTTATATGCAGACAACATGATCATATACATGGGAAATCCTAAGGAACCTACTAAATAGTACTAAAACTAAAAAATGAATTTAGTAAGGTCACAAGGTATAATGCCAACTTATAATAAATGAGTGTGTGTGTGTGTGTGTGTGTGAGAGAGAGAGAGAGAGAGAGAGAGAGACAGAGACAGAGAGGGAGAGACCTCAGTTCTTTTCTTCTTTGCCTCTAGCATTCTTCTGCTCACTCCTGTCAGGTATACATACTATTTAGCTTAATACAGGTAAAACTTGAATTAGATATTCTTTCCAATATAATTATCACTAATTAAACAGAGTGAAGTTGAGGCAACTAAAACTTCTTTCTTAGATATCTATTTAACCTAGGCATTTATTTTAATTCCTCAAGAATTTCAAGATTATTTTCTCTCAAAGGGATAGTGGGGGACTTTCAAGATGCAGAGAAAAATTGGAGTCAGGGCTTAAAAAGCAAGATGGTTTTTCAACATATGGTGTTATTTATTATATATAAAACAGTGCACTTTAGCCATAAAGTTAAACTCTTTGCATTTTAAAGTTCTATAAATAAAGTTGCTTAAAAACTCATGGTAGAGGCACCTGGGTGGGTCAGTCAGTAAAGTGTCTGACTCTTGATTTTGGCTCAGGTCATGATCTCAGCGTTGTGAGATCCAGTCCTGCATCAGGCTCTGCACTGGATGTCGAGCCTGCTTGGGATTCTCTCTCTCCTCCCTTTGCTCTTCCCCCCAAAAAACTCCAGAAACAAAAACAAAAATACTTCACTCTGTAGTAGGTCAATATTAAATATTTCAATTTTATGGCCATTCAGGTCTGTTTTAAATTTAATTAAAGTTTGTCTTATGGTAAGTGTATATGTGTGTGTATAGTGCATATATATGTATATACATATATATATATATGTTTATAATAACATAGCTTAGCTCCAGCTCACCATCTTGTATAGTGCCTTGATTCAGTTGTAAATGGTTATATTTCTGTTCATGGACCATAATATACATATAAAAATGTATAATTCACATATACATACTAATTAATATAATTGAATTTTAAAGTTTTGTGTGTTTCATCTTTTATATATGTAAAATATTAAATACATTTATCCTTTCTCTTGGCATTTGTACTAAATTCCAAATAGCATAACATTTTCTAGATGAACTTTCTCAGATTGGAATAATCTCAGTTTGTTGAAATAATTACTTTCAGTCTGCAGAAGTGGTCTCGGTTCTTACTAAGAGTGTAATTCAATAAAACATGTGTCTTCAACTCTTTTAAAGCAATTACTCTGGCATATACTGTTTAGTGAGAACTGTAATTCATATGTATTCTTTGGGTAGTTGTTGAATCAAACCTGAAGGGATTCATACCCATATATGGATTTGAAGTCTACGTGTTGAATAAATTGAATAAATAATAGGTCCCAGATAAATTGCAAACCCCAAAGAAAGCATGTGGCAATGTTGTAACTCTGTATTGTGTGGGTGGTGTGATTTTTAGGCCTCTGGTTTTATTTATTTTCTGCTAGAGATCCTATTAACAGCCATAACAAAGGAAACATACCAGGCTTTTATGTTGAATTGAAAATCTTCGTTATCTAGAGATAAGGTACTTAAGACTTTGTAAGGTAGAACACAGGAATAGTTCACTTTCTATAAAGCTTTATAGTTGTGTGAAGTGCTTTCACATATATCATTTCCTTTAATGGACAGGAAGCTGTTATTCATAAGATAGGAAAGGGCCGCTTTAATTTCACTCCTAATGTTGTTGCCTTTGTCCTGACTAAGCTTTATACAGACACTCACACCCATTTTTATCTGCCAACCATCAGCCCAGCTCCTAAGGCTGAAAAGTGAACCAAATTTGGCATGCATGCTCTTGAAACTGAATGAGTGGTGTTTAAGGAAATTAATCCAGAGTATAGAATACATTTCAAAATCTTACAAAGCCTTAGTAGTCTATGAAGGTGAGACTTGATGTCACAATTGAGCCCATTTAGCTTTCGTTCATAGTTGTGATTTTACTACTCAAGTCAGTAGGTAGTAATTTTGACATCATTATTCACCTATGGGCTAACCATTATCGAGTGCCCATTGTGAAAAAGTAATACACTTAACTAAAACAGTTGGTAGGTTTTCTCATCTTTAAGCTCAATATCAGAAGAAAAAAAAAGGTAATGCAGCAGAAGTGAGAGAAAACAGTGCCTCTTGGATTCTCTTTTCTGTACTGTTCCTTCTGTTCACCTCTCTGTGATTTGGAAAATGTTAGTTGTCTGCTAGGTCCTTGTGGTAACCACAGTGATCTAGGCTCCATATCCTGTGGTGGAATGTTCAATGAAGTCACAGTGAAGAAGCCCATTTCCAAACCTACTGGCCTATGGCAGCTTCAGTTTTCAAAACCTTTCATTTTTTTAATTCAGTGATCTCAAATCTTCCATTTTATCA